TGTAGTAATTGTCTGTTTTATTAAAACTGTTATTCTGCAAGACTTGAGATTCCCAGAGGACTGGGCCATGTCAGAGCCGATATAATTAACTAGAGGCTCAGCAACGGATCAATTACCAGACAAGCAAGTGATAGTGAAATCAATGAAAGATCATCAGGCACATTATCAGTGTTGCAACTCATTAGGGTAAAACTGAGAAGTGTGCTCAAAGCGAGCCCAGGCAAGGTGGCATTACAAAACAAAGGGCTAATTTGGAGGCCCTGCTGCGAACAATCTGTAACAGAATTAGCCTCTCTCTCCCCGCACCCTCGCAGCTGCCTAAACTGCGCGGTACTGTAACTAAATGTGACAGACTGAGAGGAGCAGTTTATTAAGACACCAACTTCAAGTTTATTTAGTTCATAAACTCTCTCCTGGAAAATCAATATGGTCTGTGCAAGGATTATAAGGCAGGCTGCCTTAATACATCCAAACGTGAGTTCCTAATGCAAGGGTCACTGCTAGGAAAGAGGCTGAACCTATCCGTAAAGTCTGAACAAATAAAAAAAAGACGCCGTAGCTTCATGTACTAACGAAGGCAAGGTACCCTACACCTCCTATCTAGGAAGAAGAAGAATACGGATGAAGATCAAAACATCTAGGTGTCCATCTTCATTAAGATTGCTCTATATTGTTAATTCAAAAATTAAGCAAACACGAAAGATCAATAAGAATAGATCATTATACATTGTGTGGCCTGACAGCATGTCTTTAATTGTGACGAGTTCACTTAACGAGCTCTATGATCACACAGCATAGTGAACAATAGAGGCATGACAAAGAATGAACAGTCTGGTAAAATCCTAACACCGTAAAAAGAAATCCAAAAGGGTGTATGTAAAACAGGTAGTAGCCAAGTGTACCAGCACACACAAAGCTGTGAAAGCAGCCAGGTTCTACCCTCAGAAAGAAAACTGTCCAACGTACAAGTACTGTGAACCTGGCTGCTGTTTAAAGAAGAGACAGTGACATTTTCTTAACTCAAATCCCCAACTGTTGTGTGCTCCCCAAATTCCTGAACAAAGTGTATTTCTCAGTGGAGTTCTACTAAATCAACAAAGAATCAACAAAACAAAAACTTATTGTAGAACCAATGTTGGGGATCCAGCCTACAGGTTGTGCACCCAAAGACGTGAAGCATATCCAACCCCCCCCCCCCCCCAAAAAAATAGAAGATTAATATATTGCAACCTATCGGTCATTTCCGTGCTCATTTCCTTTATCTTCACCTGGTGATAGTGCCAGTAACACTTCCGATACCAGGTAGGCAACGCTCACTGGCTGCACTGTATCTATAGAGAAGCAGTGTTGTTACCCTAGGCTTCTCCCCTGATCTGGACTGCAACCACCTTCCCATCTCCTCATCATTACATAGGGAGGAGGTGTTCTTTAGTGAACTGAAGATAGCTGGGAAAGCTAAAAACATTGTTGAAGATATCAGTTTAGTGTTCAAGAAGTTACAAGGACACTGGAATTCTGGCAGAATGAACAGGAATTTTTCCTTACTTACAGATAATTTACTTGAAAAAAAAAGAAAACAACACCTCTAAGGAATGGTAGACTGCAATATATAAAATTTTTGCTCTTGGGCTTAGAAATCTTTCAAACACATTACTAAAGATGCATATTAAAAAAGCGGTGAATGTGACTTTCACCGAACATTCAGTGGGGTAATTCAATCCCTGTACTTTAAAACATGTGTCTGAAAAATGTACCTGCAGTTTTATATACTGTATATGCATATTTATAAATATGCCCCCAAACATCTTTGCATATAGAATGGCCCAACACCTCTTTTGCAATTGCCCACAATGCAGTTCCTGGTGCATCAGCAACATATCACTATGGTATTATCCAATGGGAAAGGTGGTAAAGTGTGACTATGGGGTCTATTCACGAAGCTGCCGAAGGATCTAGCCGTAGCTTCGGCCGATCCTTCGGCTAGCTTCGGCCCCAGGACCCCTTCGGTTCAGTAGAACCGAAGGGCTGCAGTACAGGCTATTCACTATAGCCCGTACAGCTCCCGAACGTGGCCGAGTGGCTCAGTCGAGCCGAAAGCATATGCCTCGGCTCGGCTGAGCCGCGCTGAAAGCCGAAGCTTTTGAAGCTTCTGACAGCTGGGCGGAGCCAGCCGTGATCTTACGGCTGGCTCCTGCCACTTGCAGAGAGATCAGCATCCCTGGTTACCTGCTAACCAGGGACACTGATCTCCAAACAGCAAACTCTCCCTGGCGCTCCGGGTGTCTCCCGCTCCCGGCCGCCTAATAGAGAAACACTGCTGTCTCTTTTTTTTTTTTATTCTGACACGGAGCCGTGTCAGAATAGAAAAAAAATAAAATTAATTTTTGCCCATTGGAATGCATTGCTAGATTCCTATTGGCTATTTCAATTTGCAATAGCCAATAGTAAACAAGCATTGTACCTGCCCTCTGCTGCAGTTCTCCATCAGGTCCATCAGCAGAGGGCGGGTATCAAAATAGACATACCCACGTTTACAGAAATCCATCCAGATCTGGTCTGGAGGTTGTGTGAACAAGCCCTTAAAACAGTGCTGGGACTTGGTGTACAGCCCACTGTGCTCTAGGCCTGAATCAAAGTCTGGAGCACAGTGGGCCCCACACAAAACACTAGTGAGCTACATATTGCGCACCATTGCATTACACATATAAAAACACATTACACAAAAAAAGTAATACATATTATCACCTTATTATGAAGGTAAATAGAAAAATATTAGCATTTAGAACACTCTCAGAGTTACCTAAGAAATAATGGGCAGTATCACTTGATGTGCAAATAGCACTGCAATGATCTTGTTAATTAACTCAGCAAAGGAGGAACTCTATGTTTAAATATCTGTCTCTTTGTCAATTGATTTTCTAAATATAATATAAAAGTAAAGTTACATATAAAATATGACCTCACATGGCACGGTGTACTAAGGCAAACATGCATCAGGTCAGCTATGTTCAAATATATTAATCCTCCTATTGCAAAAGGTTGTACTAGTTCTCTGTGGTTCTCTTTTCCTGCCGCCACGGCCAGATTTACTCTCTCTGCTGCCCCAAGGCTGGGTTCCTCAATGCGTCCCCCTCCCTGCCAAATCTCTCCTAAAGGAGAATGGCAGCCAGTTTTTTTT